ACGATGAGGGGAAACACAAAAAAGCTGAAAAAATGTTGTTTACAAATAAGTTTTCAATAATTTGTAAAATTTGTGCGTATTAAACATCAAATATTTGTTAATACATATTTATTAATGATTACTTTGATTCACGTGATAAATTAAAATATAATCTTTAATTAGATTTAGAGGTTAAGATGATAATACTACTATGTAGTATTTGACATCCCGTGCAAAGCACGGGTGTAATACTAGTATGCATAATAAATTAATAATATTACAATGTAAATTTGCCCTCGGGAGTACGTCGTTTAGGGAAGTATGTGTCTTTAAGAAACAACACTTATTAACAAATACGTCATGGTATGTTTTTAAGAATATTTTTACACATTTCGAAAAATGAGGCATGCTTTTTGTACACGAAATTTATAGACATTTTTTGCACACAAGCCTAGTTGTGTGTGTGCACACATAGCTTCGGAATGAGCTGCCTGTGTACACAGACAATTAGAAGACGTGTACAAGAAATGTGTACAAATTTCGTGTACAAGTAGATTTTTTCTTCAAAAATTTAAGATACAATTATCCTACATATGACAAAAACTCATTGAGTTTCCCAATATATGACATCAATGTTTCCCCAAAGTAATACTTAAGCTCATAATATTTGATTATTTAATTAATTGATTAATAAATAAATAAACATTATGGACTAATATGTCCTTAATTGTTATTATAAAACACTAACCACCTACTCATTTTCTCCAAAACCCTAGCCACCAACCAATGTTGCGCCATCACACGGCCCCGTCGACGCAACACCACCCACCCTGTCACCAGGGCATCCGTCGTTCCATCGTCTTTGTGGCATCCGCCGCCCCATCGCACCGTCACCAGGGCATCCGTCGTCCCATCATTGTGGCATTCGCCGCCCCGTCACCCCGTCACCAGGGCATCTGCCGTCCCGTCGTTGTAGCATCCGCCGCCCCGTTGCCCTGTCGTCGTGACATCCGCCGCCCCGTCACTATGGCATCCGACAGGCCGTCACCGCGTCATCCGCCAGTCCGTCACCTCGGCACCCACCACCATCATCGTTCGACATTTGCTCCACCACCGCCGTGGGCGTCATCATGCGCCGCGGCCGTCCGCATGCTCGCACCTACCCGCAGCCGCCACTTTCTCCGTGTCACAGCCATCACCATGGAGCAGCATTGCAGCCATCTCCATGTTGCATCGCTCGGCCATCCCCATGTCGCGCGCGGCGCATGCACTGCCTAGCCATCGCCTCCATCCTTCATCCGCACGGCTGCACTCCAATTCGCCGTGGAGCTGCCCACCTCTATTCTCAATTTTTTCTCTATTTTTGAAATTAGAATTTGTGGGCATTATATATGAGCAGTGAACATAGGCAATGAGCGTGACTAGTGAACATGACAATAGATATGGTTGAATATGCTAAGTGAATATGATGATAGATAATGTTCTATATGAGTAGTGAAAGATTGCATTGGCGAAGTGTGTTGCGCATTAAATATATATGTTATACATGACAATAAATAAATGCATTAAGGAAGTTTTTTGTGCAGTGATTATGACCGGTAGTGCAGTAACACATAGCAATAATTTCGTTATGAAATATAATATACTTAATTAGACGTAAAATAATAAAATTACTAAATCTAAAAGAAATAAAAAATAAAAAACTATAAATAATTTCCTAAAGTGAATTAAAAGAGAATTGATTTTGGCTGAAGTGCAATGATTATTACTGGATGTGCAACAATATCGTACAATAATTACAATAAAAAGTGCAGTAAGTTTAATTGAACGAAAGTAGTGCAAAATGCGCATATTTTAAATAATGAGATTTTCGTCAGTCAACATTTAAATATAAATGATTTTTTTGGGATTTTCGGTCATACAAATATTTAAAATCTAAGTTAATCATATTCTCAAAAAATAAAACTAAGTTGATCATATTCTCAAAAAAACCAAGTTAATCATATTTAGGGAAACTCAACGAGTGATCGGTGATATCTTTGGAAATTTCCAAAAATTTAAAGACACTAGATCCATCTAAATATCAGTATATAAAGAAACTCAAAAAACGAGTGATCGGTGATATCTTTGGAGATTTCCCAAAATTTTAAGACACTAGGAGCTTGTTTGGTAACAACTACAACAGCTGAATAGGCTGAAAAGACTTAAAAGGCTGAATATGCTGAAGTGAAAGTGTTTGGTAATATGCTGGCTGAAATTGTTGATTGGATGTAAAATTACTATAAAGGGTATTAGCTCAATCATATTAAATATATGGGTGTGAACTTTGATTGTAAATTAATTTTGCTTGATTATAATCAGATGAGTATAAAACAGCTTGATTAATTATTACTTTGGATTTTTTTTGCACATGTTTTCCCGAATGAGCGACATTAGTATTATTTTTTGTAAAGAATGAGTAAATTAATTTTAAAACTACACTTTTTATAAAGTATACGGATATTGAAAAACTCACATACACTTAAATTAAAATAAAACCAAACAAAAAATACAGATAACTATTTATTGGAGTTTGTTTGAATTTTACTTCAAAGTCCAAAACAATAAAAAATAGACTATTACATGAACAACCAACTTTTGATCCGGAGCATTGTTCGAAATTATAGGCAACTAACAACAACGTATTTCAAAATAGAAGGGTGAAAGGGGTATTTTTATCTCCAACAGTACAATAATAAAAACCAACCGAAAAAATAACCATTTTGTTGTTTTTCAGTTGATAATAAAAATCAGCACAAGTAGTCAATTGAACAAGTGTTTGGGGATATTTTTATGCTTTCAGGCTTATAAGCTCATTTTGAGAGCTCCAAACGGCCTCTAGATCCATCTAAATATAGTCTTCCTCCGTTACATAAAAGTTGCAACATTAGAATTTCTGCATTATTCACACACCTTACTTTGACTACGATTTTCTAATACTCCCTCCGTCCCATAAAATTCTTCCACTTTCTTTTTTGGGTCGTCCCAAAAAATTCTTCTCACTTACAATTTTTGGACAATTTGTGTGGTTCACATTCATTTCACCTTTTTCTTACACAAACACAACCATACATTTTCACTTTCTTAATCTCCGTGCCAAGTCAAAGTGGGAAAAATTTTATGAGACAGTGGTAGTAATATACTTCGTATATAATTAAAATATTATGTATAAAATATTAATAAATTTATATTAGTGTAAATTTCCAATATATTAACTTTGTTTAATGTTTACTAATACGTAAATAAATATAATTACAGTCAAAGTTGTGCGTAGTAAAACGTGAAAGTAAAACTGTCGCAATTTTTATCAAACTTGTATATATAAATGCACATGTTCTAAAATATATATACTATATATAGTGTTAAACTTGTCTCATTGTAAATTTTCATAATCCAATTTTTTTAATATTTTTACCAATACAAAATCATTTATATTAATGGTCAAAGTTGTGTCTCGGCAAATGTGAAATGTTGACCGTTGCATTTATTTAAGAACGGAGGAAGTATATATATATATATATATATATATATATATATATATATATATATATATATATATATATATATATATATATATATAGGGGAGAGTTCCTGTGAGAACACACTCCCAGGAGAGAAAAAAGAATATAATCTAGCCATTCGCACAATCAATCGAACGGTCATAATTTTAGACACGTATTGCACATCACTTTAGCTTATTAACGGAAAGCATTTAATGTTAGATAGTATTATTCTAATTGGAAATTCTATCGAGGGTATTTTTGTAAAGAGGTGTGCTATTAATTAAAAGCCTCTACACGTACATAGATCATCAAGAATTTACCTTCCTTTATTAAATGACCTTGATTTAGCAACAAATAAGTGAAGACTTGGAACATTTAATTTTCATCTACATGTGCGATGCAAAATAGATTAACTTTTAGATTATTTATTATTAAGTACTTGCACTTTTATTTAAATGCATCTACTGGTACCTACAAGTGCAATTATAATGCGCTTTATAGTTCCTGTGAAATGTATTTTGTTTATTCAACGGATGCACTTTTACTTGAACCATATGCACTTTATATACAATGTCATTTTATACACATATTAACTTTTAAATTGCATTATATGCATTTTGTACACAAATTAAAAATTGTACATTATGCACATTTTAGCTTTAAAAGTGCATCATAACAACAACTCTATAGTATGCACCTTAATTGACTAGTTAAATGCACTTTTATATATTTTTTACGATAGTCAATATATTATACATTTTTATAGATTCTTTGAAGCAACAGTGCATCGTGCACCTTTATACATAGTGTTATGCAATATGCACTATATTTTGATTTAGGCATATTCATACATTCAAGTTGGTATATATTAAATTTGATAACTATCATATATTCTCAAACAAGTTGACGTAGTCATGATATTTATTTTTCAAAGTATTCATTTTTAATTACAAATATATTAAAAATGCATAATTTGAAAATTTTTAATAAAATCTGGTATTTATCAAAATCAAAACATATAATGAATACACCCCCATTAAAATCTCAATTAATAGCTACATGCAAAAAAATAGAGGAATGAAATTATGATAAGGGAAAGAAATAATACAAAAAATATTTAAAAAGAAAGTGATTTAGGAATGCATGTACTGCGGATGGTCAAACGATCAAAGTAGTGACATGTATTTCGCCATTAGTTTTAAATGCAATTAATGCATGTATGAAATTACCAAATAGTCTCTACATACGTAAATGATTTTTTGAAAAAAGTAGTAAATCTAATGGTTGATATTGATTCTCATTTCTCTCCTAAGATAGTTTTCTCACTTGAACCTAAATATATATATATATATATATATATATATATATATATATATATATATATATATATATATATATATATATATATATATATATATATATATATATATATATTTGCACTTTTGCCTCGGTGACCTGTCCTGGATAAGGGGGCAATCAGAAAGAGCAGATGTGGTTGGCTCTTGGTTAATTTTCCCACAATTACTTGAGCTGTTATCTTCTTGACATTGGTTTAATGGTCGCACGATACGGGCACAAAGCAGTAGACGCCATAGCGAAGCTCCTCCACACTGATAATCCGCAGCAATGCTAGCTTCAACGGCTTTGAATCTAAGCTCCTTTGCCCCCGTTTCCGTGATGGATTTTCCGGCACCCAACTCTTGTAAGCTTTCTTCGCAGTTTGGGTTTCGCTCCTTGCCATTGTTGGCTCTGCCGCACGCTTTGCTGAAGCGCTCAAGAACTTGTGTTAAAACCGCCGTAGCCGCTGTCGAATCATCCTCTGATACTGCGGTAAAGGTTTGTCCCCTTTTATCTAGAGGATACCTGGATTTCTTCTTTACTGTGATAAATTGAAGTCCCCGTCTTTTCTAAATCGTTATGGTTGACATCAGAACAGGTTTATCATTTTCCTATGAATTACAAACTTATTGGACCCAATCTTCTAGACTGCGTGGAAATCTAAATAAATTTTGCTAAAATAAAATTGGTGAAGATCTGTTCATCTCTGAGTAGCCTTACTGTTCATATGTTTTTGAATGTAGTCCGAAGTAATCTCTCAGCATTTGTTTGCTTGTCTGTTTGAGTATTTATAGCCGAAATGTGGCTCTTTTATTTGCAGAAAGAAACAGAAAGGAAGAAGTATTATTTTGTTGTTGCGAATGCAAAATTCATGTTGGATGAAGAGGAGCATTTCCAGGAGCAATTGTTTGAGCGTCTTAGGTATTATGGTGAATGTGGAAAGGAACAAGATTTCTGGCTTGTTATTGAGCCTAAGTTCTTGGATCAATTTCCTGACATTACAAAGAGACTAAAGAGACCTGCAGTGGCTCTAGTTTCTACCAATGGCCCCTGGATCAAGTAATGATCATCTTTTGAAATTTCAATACTAATTTCAGAAATTGTGATTGAAGAACACATTTATTGGCGATGTATGGTAGCTTGAATTGGCTTTTTCAGTGGAATAATAGTAGTCTTTGGTTTCTTTATTTGGCTGAAATTGGTGTCATCAATCACTTTTATTTTCAGAAACTCAGAAGATTCAGCCATTACAGCCAAATAAACCTTACCAAACGTGCCATAGCTTGTGATCCACCCTATTTTCAAATGCAGCATCTATAATGTGCATCCGTGTCTCATACTCTCATACATTGTTTTGTCTATCTTTTGCAGGTTCATGAAACTAAGATTAGATAGAGTTTTACAAGACTGTTTTGAGGCTGATAGTGTAGAAGAAGCATTGATTTCTTCCCCTGTCAAACTTGAGTTTGAGAAACAAGAGAATTGGACTGCACCATACCCTAAGTATAAGTTTGGATGGTGGGACCCCTTTTTTCTTCCAGAATCTCAAACTCAAAAGGTATGAGTAGAGTCATCCAAGTTTTTTGTATTTTGTAGTATGATGTCAGAAACTCGCGAGCAATTGTTTGTTAAGGGAGTTGACAAAATATCAGAACCTCAACTTAGTACTCCAAAGTTAGTGTATATGAAGAGATGAAATGTTGAAAGGCAGCAAAAGCCTGCAGGTGAAATTTGTATCTGACTTATGTTTCTTCTGTTTCATTTTTATTATTGTATTACAATCAGTTTCAACTTTTTGGCAGTTGTAGCTTCTTAATCTTTTCAATGAATCATCTTTTTGAGCGAGTTAAAATGATCTAGTGTGTTAAAAAAAAGGCAGCCTGGTGCACAATGGCATCCCCCCAAAGTGAGGGTCTAGGGAAGGTCTCACACTCTCACCACAAGGTTGAAATGTTGGTAAGCCTTCTCTTGCCATTTTGGCAAGAGACTGCTCTCAAGACTTGAACCTACCTTTCAGTCACATGACATATTATAAGAAAGTAGGAGATTGGTGTTTTAAAAAAGCACCTTAAGATGTACTACAAATTATAGTAAAAAACACTTATAGTAAAAGTTATTCCATAAAGGATCTTAATGTACTACAGTACAAATTATTGTTCCTTGTAGGGGGAGCTTCTTGTTCTTGTTTCCTTTTATCACCACTCACCAGATGTGCTTTTTAAACTTTACGTAGTATCTTTTTTTTTTGTAAACTCGAATTAGAAAGATATGTTGCCCTTTCAAGGATACCTTGTGAAACTAATACATAGTAGTACAAAAAGAATGGTAACACAGAAACCGCTGCTAACACAAAAAAAATCAGTCCCTCCAGTTTGTTTGTTTTTTAAAAGATATATAAAGGAAGAGTGGTAGATTACTAGATTAACTGAGGAAAACTATTAGCCATTTGAGAAATGAATGGAAGACAAGGTTTGATCAGTGCTCCTTCGTGTCTTTGCCGAAATGAACTTTTGGTAGTTTCTGAAGAACCTTTTCATCCAATTGACTGTACTGCCTCTTTAATTGTTTCTTTGCTTTGTGAGCATAAGCATCAACTTGATCTTCATGCTTCTCATAGAATATAGGTACAGTCAACAGCATAACAAATACTGCACAGTTAACACAGGCAGGAAAATCAGTTTCCTCACTATTAAGCTAATAAGTAGCAAATGAACATTACTTCTGTTAGAGCCTGTTTGGCAAGGCCTTTATTGATTGTTAGACTTACCTACCTATGAATGATAAGAGGAAGAATAAGAGAAACTCACTGATGTATACTAGGGTGAGAAAGTCGAACCAGCTGCCAATGGTAGAAACGATCCACAAGCCCATAATTGCCTACATTTTAAATAATATAAGCTTGTTGCAAATAGCAGCTGCTTGTGTATGTGTGTAGTAAACATGATGATAAATGGGTGGAAAAAAGAAGATGCATACATATAGAAATTTCTTCAAATCCTTCCCGGAAGCTACTTCCCGGAAAAGACCAGTAGCCCAATGGATCTTATCTCTTACCAACAAAGCTGCTTGCCTACACATATCCTCTGACAATACGATCTCTGGATAGTCCGGTGGAGTCCTTACAATTTACAAACAATATCAAATTTTGCAAAAAAAAAGTCATTAAAAAAAAATCTGAGAGCATATCAATGGGGTTCTCTTGGCATATTAGACCTTTCACCCCATTCATTAAACTTTGCACCATGATTTACCAAAATATTTTATTCTATACCCACCGTCCCACCCTAATATTCTCTATTGTAGTGTTGTACATGTTCATAGAAAGCAACCATGGGGTGCTAGTACGGATGTTAAAATCGTGTTTTGTGTTGTAGAATCATACAGTTTTGTGAACTAAGAATCTAAGATGATCAAATGATTCAGATCGCATGCAATATAGTATATTCATAGTCATAAAGTGTTACGGAATCTCACAAATATGTATAAAATCATTTAAATCTTGACAAAACGGTAAATAACATGCAATATTGGCCCTTTCAATGAATATAAAATCAATAAATGCGTTATCTTTCAAGAAAGTGATCAATAAGGTTGCTCATGTGTGGTTTTTGACTTTTTGTGAGCCTGCTGCTTATTGTTATAGTGAACATTATGAAATAATGTGTGTGGTTTTAATGTGAAGTCATATGTGATACTGTGATAGCCTGATAGGTATATAGACTACAATTACTTTGTGCCTTTTTCACTTCATTTTTCCTTTGGTAATTGCAATACATTAACGCAAAACCTTATGATTTGTGATTCGATCTGCCTGGTTGGTTTTTGAAACCTTCTGCCGGTTCAAATAATTCAATTAAATAAATAGGGTTTGACATGAAACTGAAATAATGATAGAAACATGGAGTCAAAAGGGCAAATCTCTCTTATATTATCATAGATAAGATCTCCAGATCACAAGTGTTAACTTACTTGTTCACAAAGGAGGAGAGGTTGGACCACAAAAACATGATTGCCAGGGAAAGTATAAGGGAGTGGCAAAGGAAAGTAAGGACATGGTAGCCAATCCACTCAAACAGAAGCCATATCACAGTTGCTCCAGCAAGACCTCCTGCTGATATCTGTTTGTTCCTCCACAATATTATATCAGCAGCTGTTATAAAATATATCAACTGATGAGATCACACGAATTTATTAAGGTACGCTAGGATGTGGTACACACGACAAAAAAACATACGTTTTCCACCACCGAGGGCGGCATGGACGGGTTTCTGGCGGCCGAAAAGGCGTCCCTTTTTTGGCGGTGAATCCGTACTTTGTTTGGAAACATGAATATTGCCGTCGGCTTCAGATGAAGTTGGGCGTATATGATGTGTGTCATGAGCATCCTCCATTGAAACTTCAGAACCAACTTCGTCGTCTCTTTCTGACATTTCAATTAGTTTCCTGCTGATCTCACCAAAAAGAGCAAAACAAAAATGAGATCAAGGGAAAACTTTGTCTGAAGGGGAATATGTCAGATTCTGTTAATTTCGTTTCTTGGTTTGGAAGGTTAAAAAAGGCATTAATTAGTTTTCTTTCGTTGCATGCGACTGTATTCCCAGGCTCCCAGCTAGTCAGATAAATCAATCGTCCAAAGATCCAAAATTCTAGGGAGCAAAACTACCAGAGCCACATTTTAGCCCTCTCACCTCTCCCCCACAAAAAAAGGTTTTCAGTTTTGCACAATACCCCGAGGATCCCCATCTTTATTGTGTTCCTAGAATTTTGGTTTGCAGTTTAACATATACTCCCTCCGTCCCAATTTGTAAGATGTTTTACGGTTTACGATATTTGATCGATGATAAAGCAAATTGATCCCTGTCAACACTCAAATCCTATACCTAAAAGCACTAAACTGGAGAGAGAAAATTTTCCTGCCTAAGTAATCTCCGCCTAAAATCCTAAAATGTAATTACATTTTCCACACAAAAAAATCATCATACTATAATCCTAAAATAATAAAATGTAATTTCATCCTATCCTATACCTAAAAGCACTACAGTGCAGATAGAAAATTATCTACCTAAAATCCTAAAATGTAATTTCACTTTCCACAAAAAAATCATCATCATCATATATATACCTAAAAGCACTGCACTGGAGAGAGAAAATTCTCTCGCCTAAGCATTCTCCGCCTAAAATCCTAAAATGTAATTTCACTTTCAGCAAAAAAATCATCCTATACCTAATCCTATACCTAAAAGCACTACACTGGAGAGGGAAAACTCTCCCACCTAACGGCCTAAGCATTCTTCGCCTAAAATCCTAAAATATAATTTCACTTTCTGCAAAAAAAAATCATCCTATACCTAAAAGCACTACATCCTATACCTAAAAGCACTACACTGGAGAGGGAAAACTCTCCCACCTAACGGCCTAAGCATTCTTCGCCTAAAATCCTAAAATATAATTTCACTTTCTGCAAAAAAAAAATCATCCTATACCTAAAAGCACTACACTGGAGAGAGAAAACTCTCCCACCTAACGTAGGAGTGGATTCGGGCCGGTTCGGGCCCGGCCGGGCCTCGGTTCAAGAAGGGGAGGCCCGGAACCGGCCCAGGTAACCCCCGGGTCCGGGCCGGGCCTCGGGTATTTTTTTTTTGGCTTTTCCTAGTTAACCCCCACCCCTCCCCCTCACCCCCAAACCAACCCTAACCACCTCAAATGGCCCAAAATAACCAACCCAACCCAAAAACTCAAACAAAATTCAAAAAAAAAATTAAAATTGGCCCGACCCGGGCCCGAACCGGCCGGACCGGTTCACCTTTTGAAGGGCCCGAGCCCGAACCGAGAATCCACCGGGCCGGGTGGCCCGAACCGGCCAACGAACCGGTTCCCGGGCCGGTCCGGGCCCGCACAGTGGCGGGCCGGTCCGGTTCCGGGCCGGTTGGCCCGGCCCGAGTCCACCCCTAACCTAACGGCCTAAGCATTCTCCGCCTAAAATCCTAAAATATAATTTCACTTTCTGCAAAAAAAATCATATACCTAAAAGCACTACACTGGAGAGAGAAAACTCTCTCACCTAACGGCTTAAGCATTATTCGCCTAAAATCTTAAAATATAATTTCACTTTCTGCAAAAAAAATCATCCTATACCTAAAAGCACTACAGTGGAGAGAGAAAACTCTCCCACCTAACGGCCTAAGCATTCTCCGCCTAAATCCTAAAATATAATTTCACTTTCTGCAAAAAAAAATCATATACCTAAAAGTACTACACTGGAGAGAGAAAATTCTCCTGTCTAAGCCTAAAATCCTAAAATGTATTTTCACTTTCCACGAAAAAATACGAGTTATACGCCTCTCCTAAGATTCTCCCGTCTAAGCATTCTCCGCCTATCTTATACCTAAAACACTACACTGGAGAGAGAAAATTCTCCCGCTTAGCATTCTTCGCCTAAAATCCTGAAATGTAATTTCACTTTCCACAAAAAAATATCATCATCATCCTATACCTAAAAGCACTACACTGAAGCGAGAAAATTCTCTCGCCTAAGCATTCTGTGCCTAAAATCCTGAAATGTAATTTCTCTTTCCACAAAAAAAAACATCATCCTATACCTAAAAGCACTACACTGAAGAGAGATATAATTCTCCCGCCTAAGCATTCTCCGCCTAAAATCCTAAAATGTAATTTCACTCTCCACAAAAAAATCATCCTATACCTAAAAGCACTACACCGGAGAGAGAAAATTCTTCCGCATAAGCATTCTCCGCTTAAAATCCTAAAATGTAATTACACTTTCCACAAAAAAA